GGTCCTCTATCTCTCTTCCTAGCAATACTGCAGCGTCGAGACCGCGGCTTACTTTCAGATGATTACAAACAGCAGACACAAGTAAGTTCGATCTTCTCTTCTTTCTCTCTCTGCCCTTAGCACATGGATGCACCTGGCCGTCCACTTGGCCAGGTTCGCTTAGCAAAGTGGTAGCACCTGCTGGCAGCCCTGCAGTCTGGCACATAGCCCGACTTTCGGTTCATTCATGCATCGTCAACTTGGTCTTCTAGGTAAGCTCTCCCTCTCTCTCTCTCTCTCTCTCTCTCTCTCTCTCTCTCTCTCTCTCTCTCTCTCTCTCTCTCTCTCTCTCTCTCTTCGTTCCCTCAACCGGTTCCAAATTTTCCTGATCTCACTCCCCTCAATGCACCTGGCCACTATGGCGGTCACGTTCAGACACATCCACAACCCTGAGAACTAAATGAGACAACCACAAGCGAACCCGGTCATACACTCTGCCAGATGAGTGCGACCCCTGAAGCCGACGCAAGCAAAGCAAACCAACCCGACCAACGTTAGCGAAGGAGCAGCAGCAAACAAGTCACGGGCAACAACATGAGCATGAGTACCCCGAAGGCAGGCTGCACGACGATGGCGATGACCGTGGCTCGCACAACGAACACTTAGGGCACAACGGTCGTAAAGCTGAAGCGAACGCACGATGAGCCTACAAAAATCTCAGTAAAAGCAGAGGGCGGACGTGAAGACGAGCAGTTGATGAAGGAGGGTGGGAACGCGTACCCCAATGCGAGGACGACTACCATCGGGATGACGACCACTGTAATGCCAAGCACAACTCTGATGGAGACAGACTCTACCTGACAGTCGAAACATGGCCACCGCGAGTCCAACTACAAAGAGGATAGCGACCGCCACGACAGATGAATCTGCCCTGTTACTTCTGAAAAGGAAAAATAACGAATGTTGATCGAAAACGTAGGTAGGTTCATTTCCCCGCCCATAGTTTCTTTTTCCTCACGCAGCTCCCACTCACTGTACCGTAGTTTCTGTTGCTCCCCATTCCAGTCCGTTTTCACCAAGGTGCTCGCTGCCTCCCAGAACCTCAGTACAGGCTTATATCCCTCCCGATTCCATCGGGAATCGGATGAGATCTTCGTTTTTAGCCCTCTCCCGCTCGTTGTTGCTGGTATATCGCGCAACTCCCATTACTGATCCCAGCCAACTCACTACTCGAATGTGAAATCTGGTTCTACTATCAGATTCGCTATGCATCAAAACCCCGATTTCAAGCTTTACTTCGCCTGATTCCGTTAAGGAACGGGCGAGTTACGATCTTTTCCCTCCTRCCATAGCTATTATCCGCCATCTCCCCGCGTAGTACTTTCCCTCTGCAGCGCCAGAGCCAGCCACTAACTTCAATTTCTGACCCCGCCACTAGATTCGCCATTACCAAAAACATAGGAAACGAACCTTCATTCGCCCGTTTCCATCGAGGAACGGGCATGAAACATCTTCTTCCCCCCTCACCATTCYCGTTTTTGTCGCCTTCGTCATTTTTCCTGTTTATCCCCTTCCGTGTTCTGTTTGACGTCATCCCATTTGTTCCCTTCTTCGCTCCATCTGCCTTCGACTTCCCATGGTCAGCGTTGTCCCGCTAGCAGCCGACCCGATAGGCTCGCAATCAGAAAGCAAAAGAAGCTTTTGCCCTTTTTGTTGTGCACAAAATTTCTCATTCTTGTTGAGTTCCTCTTCGGACCTCTATGCTCCCTTCCAACAGATGTGCTGCCCCAKCCAACTCCCCGCCAGACAATGTCTTTGCTTGGATCGGACAGGCCGCAATGACCTGCATCTTGGATCGAGGGGCAGAGGCAAAGTCCCTGTTCCACCTCACGAAATAGGTAAAATAAAATAAAATAAAATAAAATAAAATAAAATAAAAATAAAAGTAGTGGTATTTCAGCTTGCGGCGCAAGCTCCCACTCACCCACCTTCAGTGGAGTTCCAGCTCAGGTCTGCATTTCAACAGTTCGCAGGTCTACCAATTGGGCTGGGCTAGCTGGTTCCATGCCCGAGCGTGGAATCAGCTGCAGGGGGACATGTGAATCTTTTCTGTACTGTTCCAGTTTGAACAGATGTCCCGAAGGACCACCCTGTGGGAATGGGCATGGGATATCATCATTGGACTGACTGATCCCAGGTAATAGGGACTGTCGTATTTCACACAACTGCATCATGCGACATTCGAACTCAAATCTGTATTTACACAGTTCAAGGGTGTGCTACCTGAGCTAGACCCGCAGGTGCTGATCCCACATGCCTGTTCAACAGTTCATGGGGGTCCCACTGAGCTAGGCCCGCCGGCAGCAGTTCCCACAGGCCTATTTTCAGCAGTTCGCGGGTGTACCAACTGAGCTGGGTCTGCAGCTGCTGGTCCCACAGGCCTTCTCACCCCCAACCCTCTCACTTTTCACAGCAGGCTGAGGTGAACGGGCGGTATATCCCCTGGCCATGGCTGCCCAGGCTTCCACCACCCCGCAGGTGCTGGTGCAGATCTTGGCGGTNTTCACAGCAGGCTGAGGTGAACGGGCGGTATATCCCCTGGCCATGGCTGCCCAGGCTTCCACCACCCCGCAGGTGCTGGTGCAGATCTTGGCGGTAGTGGCAAATATTCAAATGAGAACTTTGAAGGCCGACGTGGGGGTGGGTTCCATCGCACCTGCTGCTGGGATAGCCTGGTGCACAGCCAAAACTGCAGCAGCCTCCCACTGGTGCCTCCAGGTCCCGCTGTAGCAAATCTTTAATTCAGAACTTCTCAGTCCGAAGTGGCCTGCTGCTGGGACAGCTTGGGCCGCGCAGCCAGCACTGCGGCAGCCTTCTACCGGTGCCCCTTGGGCCCGCCCAGGCATAGTTCATCATCCTATGTGTCCCAGCGGGCACACTCACACTAAAACCTATTACAACAAATCGTGGTTGGCGGACGGTGTGCCAGCAGCGACCCCCGCCACCAAGGTTTCTTTCTGCCTCGTGGGCTAATTACCCACTGGCTTGCATGCACATTGAACTCCCCGGTCCAAGTATCAAGACGGGTAGACAGAGGAATTTTGCCAGCATCTAGAACACGCCAGAACCCAAGCGGGCCTGTCGAAAGAGGCGCGTGATCAAGGTCCTCGACTGCCGTAACGGCCACCCGTGTCCGGCAAAGTATTAGCCGAGCCAGACCCGGGTGCCCGACCGCGGTCTCGGACCCGGTCATAAAATTAATAAAAATAAGAACAAATGCGAGGAAACAAAAAAGTAGCGGGACGAGGGGCTGCATGTCCCGCTGGCCTGTGACGCCGTGCACACCCAGGTCGCGCATGGTTGCTCCTTGCCATCAATACCTCGCGCTCTCTGCTCACCCGGGCAAGGACTCAACTCTCACCCGCGAGTGCGCCGTCAACTTCGGACGAGGTCGCACCGGCGTGACTTACAAAAAGCACGCCAAATACCCTTGTAAGGGTATTTGGTACGACACCGGCTATAGATGAGAATGTCGTCTAAGTAGACCAGCACGAACGGGTCCAACATCGCACAAAACTCATTGGTCATTGCCGCTTGAAAGGTCGCCGGGTCGTTGGTGAGGCCAAAAGGCATGACCACCCACTCAAAATGCCCATACCCCGTCTTGAACGCAGATTTGTAGCGATCGTTCGGTCGGATCGAGATTTGATGATATCCCGACTTCAAACCCAACTTAGAAAAATACCGCCCAATCGCTCAAGAAGATCGTCGATACGAGGAAGAGGCCCCGCATTGCGCATTGAGCTTGCGGTAGTCGATGCACAATCGTATATGCTTGTTCTTCTTCCGCACGAAGAGAGCTGGCGCTCCATATGGAGAGCTATTAGGGCGGATTCAGCCCTTGTCCAACAAGTCATCAAGTTGCGTGCGGAGGACCGTAAGCTCCTCCTCGCGCATGCGGTAAATGCAACCTTTCGGCGGCACGGCACCGGCCTCAAGAATGATCTCGTTGAGAGATCGGCCGATCCGGCACCACACCGGTAGGTGACTCGAAGATGTCGGCGAACTCGATAAGCAACCGCACCACACGGGGGTCCGAAGACAAGTCCGTGGGTGAAGAGTCGGCTACCACGACTGTCCGTAGGAAACATAGGCCGATTTCGTCGGGCTGCTCGTAAGCACAAGTAGCCCGGAATGACTTGGGCGTCACCAATTGGCATCGGATCGAAGGGTGCGAAAGAGGAATAGTACACGACACTTCGGTGCCGAAAGTGTCGCGAACGGTAAGAGTCCACCGATGGAAGTTGACTGTGTGATCCGTACTTGCAAGCCAAGGCATTCCCAAAATAATGTCGAAGTCCGCGTCCAAAATGTCGAACGTCACCGGTTCGCATGCATGAGGTGCAAAATACACCGGTACGGCCTCGATGTAGCGGTCGATAAGTTGCTGCGTCCTTCCGTCCGCCAACTTGATCGCCGTCGGGTTTGCCTTCCTCTGAACTTGTGCGCCAAGGCCAGCCATTTGCATAAAGGCTTGGCTCATAAAATTGCGAGACGCGTCGCTATCCAGCAAAGCGCTGCAGGACGCTTGCCCAACTTGGATGCGGACATAGAGGAGTGGTGCGTTGTTGTCGTCGTACCGCTGATTCTGAAACTCGCGGGCCACCTTGATAACATATGCAAGGATGTCCCCCACCGCGACTTCGTCATTCGTCGGCGAAGTTGGTGGTGCATAGAAGGATAAGTACGTGTGAAGATAAGCGCATAATGCTGTGCATTGCGGTCCCGGCAAGCGGCGTCTTGTCCTTGAGCATGAGTACCCAGCGTAGGAACGAGCGGGGCAGCATAGTCCTCATAAGAATATAGAAGAGGAGGACTATCGACTTTCGCATGTGCCTCGGAACGAAGGGCGGTCAACCGCGAAGCGACCGGTTCCGAAGGCGTTGAGAGTGTCGTCGAGTCACTCTCGGCGGTGCTCAGTTTTCCGATTTGCCCTTGCCTTTCGACGGGCAGCCCATTGTCTCGTGGAGATCGCCGTTGCACCACATACAATAGTGGAATCACGTGCGTGTCTTGTATGCTTGCTCGGAGAGACCGTAGTGGGACCATGGGGCTGGAGCTACTGCGCCGGGCCCGGGGCTAGATGCGGTGTTTGTCTTCGCCTTGCCTCGTCCTCGGCCTTTGCCGGGGCGGCCACCATCCCGGGCGGCTGCGAGTCTGTCCCCCTCATGGGCAGACACGGCCTCGCTAGTTTGCTCGTTTGGCGTTGCCGCCGCGACCACGACCACTTTTGGCCGATGCTGATCTATGCTCGGGCCTGTCGCAGACGAATGGTGGAGGTTCTTAGCCACCTTGTTCGTGACAATAATCTGCACGGCCTTATCGAAGAGCTCTGCCGGTGTCGTCAGGGTGTCCTCGACGTGAGTCAAGGCATTGCCCAACGTCGGACACGACCTCGAGATGAAGTAGTGTTTGATGGCTTTGAAGCCCATTTGAATGTCTGGGACGGATGTCAAGTGTTGGTACTCGGCAATCCAGTCAACACTCGGCAGCGTGCCTTGTTCGAAGGTCATCGGCTTGTCCATTGCCTTGATCTTCGACAGCTCTACTCGGAACCGCTTATGCCACGCCGCCTTTAAATCATCCCAGTTGATCTTGGTATGCAAGTCGGCAGCCACCACTCCGTACTTGGACAAGAGATTGTCCAACCATGCTTGGCACGCGCCCCCCGACCGGGAGTATAAGTACGTGTGGTGCTTGTGTTTGCTGACGTGGTGGAGCTGCAACTTGAGCTCGAACTTGCGGAACCATGGAATCGGGTCCGTCTTCGTCGAGTCGCAAAAGATCTCCTAATCATCGAACCTTGGAGTCGTCTCACGCAGTTCCGAGCTCGAGTGGGTGGCGGCAGTACAGATTTGCTGCTCCAACTGTTGCGTTGCGGTTTGCTGTAACTGCACACCGTCCTTGAGGGATCCGACGTCAATCTCCAATGCCTCGAGGCGATCGGAGGTGTTGGAAGAGCTGGCATTGGGGGCGGCAACGGGGCGCTGCTCCAGCAGGTGGAGGCGGCTGTGGACTTGAGACAACGCGTCGTTGTGGATGTCCTCCTGCTGTGTAATGCATGTTGCCAGGAGGTCCGTGAGATGGGAGAGGAGTAGAGCGATCTTGTTTTCACTCTCTTCCATTTCCCATTCTCGGCCTCGGCCCGCCAGTCCGCTGCCATTGTGAGCAAAGCTCGCTCTCCGCTGAATATCTTCTCGTGTCGTTGAATTCGTTCTTCGTTGGCAGCCTTTGCTGCTGCCTCGTCTTGCTGGCGCTGCTGTTCGATTGCCAACAGATATGCCTTCTCGGCATCCTCTGCCTTCTTCTTTGCTGCGGCTGCTACTGCATCCGACCGTTGTTTGGCTTCGGTGATCAGAAGCAGCATCCGGGCCTGATAGGCCTTGTCCGTTTCCCCGGACTTCTGATCCATGCCGGCTGTTTGTAAGCACGTGAGCATTGACCAGGCCGGGGGCCTGCTGACGTGGCACTGCCTGCTGCTGACGTGGCCTGCTGACGTGGTCTGCTGACATGGCCTGTTGACGTGGCAACTTACCAATGCCGCCGCAGGGGGTACCCGGAGACCGATAGAGAAGATAAGACCAGAGGGGGCAACAACATAGGCGGGGAGGGGTGGGTGGGATAAATTGCCCAGATAAGGAGCCACTAATAAAAAAAAGAAAAGTTTGAACTTTGCAAAAAAATTCGAGAAAAAGAAAAAAATACTCGTTTGCAAGTTCAGCAGGTCTCCCAATTCCCCCTCAAGTGCGAAATTATGAATGAAAAAATTTTCGAACTTTCAGACTGCAGATGAGTGTCCGATGAGAATTCCGAAAAGAAACTCCAAACCGTACATGCGGCGCATTGCCATGCGCTGCAATGCGCACGTGCGCCGCACCGTGTAGTGCGCACAACGCGCGCGCATGGCATGCGGCGCATTATGAAATCGGGGGGTCACAAAAAAAAAAACGAAAGTTGTGGGGGGGGGGTTGCAAGGCCGGCAGGCATTTTGAGCCGCCGGGTTACGAAAAAAGGAAAAAAAAAAATTGAGGCCGCGCAGGGCCCCGCAGTTTTTTTTTTGAGGCAGCGAGGGGCCGAGGCTCGCAGCAGCGGGAGGAGGCAAAAACGTGGCAGTGTATATTTCGAAAATGACAAGAACTCAGTGCTTTTGCAAAAAGAAAAAGAGAACCAGAAACTTACCTTTTATACCCGAGCAGAATCTGTCAGAAAAAGTGGCAGAAGCTTGAAACCGTTGGTGAGTGGGTGTCTCCACTACACACGCCACGAAATCTGCTGAAACTTGAAACCGCTCGTCGGATTTCCTGGCACGCGTAGTGGAGAGAGCCCCACTCACCAAATGTGCAAAATGAGAATGAATCTTCCTCTAGAATACGGGAAGATACATAGCCATATTTTTTGTCTTTTGTGTATGTGGTGCGTAGTCGGGCGAGGCCCATGCTCGATGCCCGTTATAGAGTCTCGCTCAACTACTCACCACATGCACAAAAGACAAAAAATATGGCTGTGTATCTACCCATGTCCTAACCGAAGATTCATTCTCATTTTGCACATTTGGTGAGTTGGGCTCCCTCCACTACATGTGCCAGGAAATCCGTTGAAACTTGAAACGGTCCATTGGATTTCCTACCTTCTTCCCCCGAATACAACGTACGGTCATTATAGCTGTATTTGACGCATCTTTCGGTCTAGATACAGCTAGAATGACCGTACATTGTATTCGGGGGAAGAAGGTAGCACGTGTCGTGGAGGGTGCAACACGAGAATGAGGGCGTCACTGCACTACTCTCCAAACGCGCAAAATGAGAATGAATCTCCTGCTCGAACATGGAAAAGATACACCGTCATTTTTTTTTTCTTTTGTGCATGCGGAGAGTTGTGGAGCGAGGCCCTGAATCTCACGTATCCCTCTCTCTCTCGGTGCGCTGTGCGCATGGTGCGCCCAGTGCGCGCGCGCGCACATGCGCGTGCGGTGCCCCTGAGCGCATCCCGCACGGCGCACTGCACCGCATCGCGCACCGGGGCAGTGCGCCGCAACTATGCTACAAAGAAATATTTGGAATTACTCAGATGAGAGTACGCGCAGTTCGGAAAATGATAACTGCAAGAGGTATTTCCCGTGCCATTTTCAGAAAAACGAATTTCGGAAAAAAAATATTCCGGATTTCCAAATAACGGGAAATTGCAAAAGGAAATCGAAATTTGCGAAAAAAAAATATTCCGGATTTCCAACAACGAAATTTCGAATTTTCAGAAGAAAAACGAAAACGAAAATTTCAGGTGTTGCGCTATTGCGATTTTCCACAACAGAAATAGCGGGAAAACAAAATCCAAGACAAGAAAAAAAAAAATCGATTTTCGGCAGTGAGGTCAAAATCGTGATTTTGGGGGAGTGTGCTCTAATCAATCAATCAAGACTAATCAGCTACCTAGTCCCCGCACACGTGTCAGATCAGGTTGTCCTGATTCACGTCCTGTGTTCCAATACCAACTGTTACATGCCCCGTTGGGCGATGCACATATAAAACCGAAGATCCGCAATGTGATAAAAAGGACTGAATGGACAATGCAGTGCAAGTGAAATCTCAACAAGCAGTATACATTCTGATACATACAAAAATGGTGCTTTATAGCGCAGGGGAAGACTTAGATACAAGTCCTGACCTGACCGGGACTGACCTCTATCACGTAGTGTAAGACAGCGCAGCAGAATGCTAGAATACCAATGACTAGCCCAATGAATGTTGCAACGCAGACCAAACATACATCATCCTCATCACAAGGTGTGAAAGGACCTGGCGCTACACACAGGAAGAATGCGCCAGGTCCAAATCATGCACAGACGAAGAGGAGGGGAACAGACGAAGAAGAGGGGGAGAGATGGGAATGTCGTCAACACCAAATCTTTGTTACAAGTCCCAAATAATCCCTCGTCAAAATGTCTGAAGCCCAATGTCGAGTCTGGATCCAAATGTCACCAAGCCCGCTCCCTCATAGTCTGCTGATGCAGTGAAGTCAGGTAGTGAGAAGGTGAGGGGAGATGGTGGACTGAGAAGAGGAAGAAGAAGAACTCTCTCTCGCTCATATGCCAGGTACTAACCTGTGAAGATGGTGCTGTGCTGCAGGTACCTCTTAGGCGAAGCTGGAGCTATGGCGCTGCAGGTAAGTATCCCTGGCCTCCGCCCAATCTCTCTCTCTCTCTAGTACTACTCTAGCTCTTAAGAGCGCCTAGCGCTGAAGACTACTGCTAACGCTACTACTTCTCCTGCAGCGCTCCTCCAGACTGCTGCTGCCGAATCCTGAAGACTACCTCCTGCCTCCTGAACTGCACGTGAAGTGCCTGGGAAGTACCTAGGAACTACCTGCCAGCCTGCAGGGCGGGCCAGTCCTATATAGTGCTGGCCTGTCCAGGAAGCTGCTCTTGCCAATGCCGAAACGTGCCAGACCCTGGCGTTGAAGCTCAACCAGGGGTTGTCTTGAAAACAGGCCCAAAATGGCCTGTGAAAACCCTGGTTTGGTGCCTGAGTTTCAGGGCGGGTTGATCTGATGAGGGCCTGAAAATGGCCCTCAGTTTCAGGCTGAAAAGGCCCTGATTTAGGCTGAAACGACACAGGGCCTGTAGGCCCTTGTTTTCAGGCTTTCAGGCTGAAACGACACAGGGTGTGTAGGCCCTTGTTTTCAGGCTTTTGGCCTGAAAACATCACGGGCCTGAAAATGGCCCGTGCAGCCTGTTGCAGGCGCAGCACGTAACACACACACACTCTCTCTCTCTCACACACACGTGCACACACGCGCACACACACACACACACACACACACACACACACACACACACATGCTTTGTGCCGTGAGGATTATGAAGGAATAGTCCATGCGAGTTTTTGCTTTCATACCTACAACGACAGTCAGCACTGTACTCATGTACGGCACCCTGACATGTTATGTCCAATTTGTAGACGGGCTAGAACGGCAGTGCCTCTATAATTGTGGTCGACGTGCCTCCGTGTTTCTAGCATGTAGGAGCCACGTTGCCTGTGACATCTGTCTGCGCCGAGCCATTCGATGCAGCAACTGTGACTGCGAAAACTGGATGCGGTGCTTCCACAGTCCACACCCGAACCGGTCCTGTCCGGTCTGTAGGGATGGTCACTTACCATAGGCAATAACTGCTCCTTGACTCAAAATCTTGTGCAACCCAAACACCAATGAACCTCATGTACTATTCCAGCGGTGAGTGTTTAGAATTCTGCGAAGCCCATCATATACCTCTCGCCTTCCCTACCCTTGCACTCTGCTTTCCCCCTACCTCACGCCCTGACAAACTTACCTCCTGTCCCTTTCCCTCCGCCCTCTCCTTATGTGCAACTAGGAAATACATACGAATGAGCATCAGTAAGAGTACAGACAAAGTATAAGTTGAAGATTTGAAGAGAAATGAACAGGAGTATGAAGATGAACGACAGACACAAAGACTAAGCATATGCTGAAGATCTGAAGTGAAATGAACAGCTGGAGATTTGGAGTGAAATGAACAGCTGGAGATCTGAAGAGAAATGAACAGCTGGAGATCTGAAGTGAAATGAACAGGAGTATGAAGATCTGAAGAGAAGTGCACAGGAGCATACCTTCCCCTTTACTCTGCCTCTTATTATAACGTGCAAGTGGGCCGTTAAGGCACACGGGGATGTGGGCAGCTGCCGCTCAACCACCATCAACGTGGGCAGCCTTGTAYGTGCGAGGCAAAGTGAAAGAGGAGCTGTTGCCCCAAAGAAACCCTAGCTAAACACAGTTGAAAGAGGAGCTGTTGCCCCAAAGAAACCCTAGCTAAACACGGTTCAAAATGGTTCTATTATGATTCGTGCTGTCTGTTAAAGAGAGAATTTTTTTTTTAAGTGTTGGGCGGACTCAGTCCGGTTCTACTCATCTGGTTGGAATAGGGGTTGTTGTGGGGGAAGCTTATAACACACACACACACACACACACACACCCCCGTATAGTAGTGTATATTTCCATGTTCGGGCGGAAGAGTCATTCGATTTTGCTCATCCTATCGATCAAAGGAGTGTGAGGCAAGACGCGAGGTTGGAGATCTCTCCCTCTCTCTGTGTCAAAAAAAAAAAAGAAGTGGCAGTGTATATTCCCATGTTCATTCCGATTGTGCTCATCCAATCGATGGTTGCTTCTCTCTATCTCTCTGTGCACATGGCTGGAAAGCAGTGTATATTTCCTTTATTGATTTTTTATTATTATTTTTTTTTTCAAATAACAGAGCCTCTTGGCTCTGGCTCCTGCCATTCTGGGGAGCGACAGTCAGGTTCCTTTCCTCCGGCAAGTCAATAATGGAATACATAGGAGACTCACCCACGCTCCCCTCCATTATGGCTGGGGGGCCCGAGAAGGCGGTATTGATTGCTTCCATGAGGAAGGATGTACCACCTCTCACCCCTGCCTGAGTTACCCTATGCTAATTTTGTCTTCCACTCCTGTCAGGTCCCAGTTCTGCGCCTCTCAGCTGTGCAGCTGTCGGGTAGGTGTGATATACT